GCAGAGTGTATTATTTGAACAAACCAATTGAGAAGAATTGTAACATGTAAGATTGGTGGGAAAATAATTGAAAATATAACTTTTAACATTACAAACTGATTCACCGTTGTTACAAACTAGTGTGTTATTGTAGCAGTATTGAGAATTCGAATAACAGGCACCGTTGCATGAATTAATGCATCGAAGAGTACCGTTCGTGCAGGTTTGAGAATTCGGATTATAGCAATTGGCACCACAGAGTCGCCCGTTCAATCCTGGACAGACAGTGGTTCCATTCAGGCAGACACTCGTTGTATTATCATAGCAAATTTGTCGTGGGCCACAGAGATTGACGTTGTTCGTATAATAATAGTTCCAATAGGAAAAACCAGTACAAATAGTTCGGTTGTTCACGCAGACGGAATTATAGTCAGCCAGGCATTGTGTCCCACAAGAATACTGGGGATAGCAGAGTGTATTATTTGAACAAACCAATTGAGAAGAATTGTAACATGTAAGATTGGTGGGAAAATAATTGAAAATATAACTTTTAACATTACAAACTGATTCACCGATGTTACAAACTAGTGTGTTATTGTAGCAGTATTGAGAATTCGAATAACAGGCACCGTTGCATGAATTAATGCATCGAAGAGTACCGTTCGTGCAGGTTTGAGAATTCGGATTATAGCAATTGGCACCACAGAGTCGCCCGTTCAATCCTGGACAGACAGTGGTTCCATTCAGGCAGACACTCGTTGTATTATCATAGCAAATTTGTCGTGGGCCACAGAGATTGACGTTGTTCGTATAATAATAGTTCCAATAGGAAAAACCAGTACAAATAGTTCGGTTGTTCACGCAGACGGAATTATAGTCAGCCAGGCATTGTGTCCCACAAGAATACTGGGGATAGCAGAGTGTATTATTTGAACAAACCAATTGAGAAGAATTGTAACATGTAAGATTGGTGGGAAAATAATTGAAAATATAACTTTTAACATTACAAACTGATTCACCGTTGTTACAAACTAGTGTGTTATTGTAGCAGTATTGAGAATTCGAATAACAGGTACCATTGCATGAATTAATGCATTTAATGGTAGTGTTGCCGCTGGAACATCCTTGTTTGGTTGGATCGTAACATGCATTCGATCCACATGGTTGCTGCCCAGTTGGACAGGTAATTGAGTTTACACCGGCCACGATTATAATTAGTATGAAACCTTCTATGGTCATTTGTGTTTTAACTAGTTATCAACGTAGCTGTTTTGTTGAAGTAGAAATTTGGTAACAGTTTGCTTCTCACGTTCTTGGTATATGCTTCCGGTTCTGTTCACTTGAATCACTCTGAAATGTTTTATGAATTCCCCGACACATTAGAAGACCCCCTGAGTAAATAACCCCAAAGGCGTATGTGAAGATCCCTCTTGAGTAAATAGCCCCAAAGTCATATCAGAAGACCCCCTCTCATAGGGATGTGCAGTGTCGGTGTTAACACTGAAAAACTGACCACTGAGTACACCGTCGGCGGAATTCGGGGGTCTACTGGACACAGTGTCGTTGTAGTCGACGGTCCACTGAGTACACTGTCGGTGCAAGTCGGAGCTACACTGGAGACCCCGTCGGCACTAGTCGGTGGTTAGTATAGTGACACTGCAGATCCCTAACTTCTAATGATTGATTTTTCAGTTTTTCTATTCTGGTTATTTTCGTCTCTATGTTTGTTATGGTCAATTTCAGAAGTTCTTTCTATTCTTTTTTCTGTTCAAACCGCTTTTTTAATGTAATTGAATAACGCAAAGCTTAATCAACATGAATGTAATTGAATAGCGCAAAGCTTAACTGATAGACACATGTATATGGCATTTAGACACAATGCATGCTTTGATCGATTTTAATTCGTTTTTATTCACATTATTTTCATTTGACGAATAGTGAATTGTCTGATTACAATCATAACTGAGTAAACATACAGCATTTATTATGGATAAAGATCTTATGTTGAATTCTCATCTACTACCGTTAAATATCGACGAAAACGATATTAATCAAAAATCTGATTCTGATATTTGTTCAATTAGTTCTGATATCGAAGTTGATGAAGTAGAACAAGTAAATGAAGATTTTATTCGACGCAATCTTACTAACAACGAACACAGTAGTGAAGATGAACTTGAATATTCAACTAATTTTGATAATAATGAAGAAATCATTTGTCTTAGCGAATTATCAACTTCCTCAACATCAAAAACATTAGTTGTTGCTAATCAACATAAACGTCGACAATGGAGTTTTGAAGAAAAACTTGAAATTATTTCTGAATTTAATAGAAGTACTTCTTTGCATCAACTCGAAGTAAAGTGTAAATGCACAAGAAAAATGATACGTGAATGAAGAGAAATGAAAATTAGCTCATCAAGCCTGTAAAGAACAAAGGTGGCAAAGGAAAAAAAACGTAAACGAATTGGTGGTGTTGGTGCGAAGCTGGCCTATTATGATTTGGACGAACACTTAATTAAGTGGTATCGATCAAAGCGTGGCTTAGATCAAGAAGGTATCAATGTTTGTAAAGATAAAGTAACATTTAAAGGTATGATAAGACAAGAAAAAACAATTGTACTGAAACCAAAAGCAAAGAACCATCTATGAAATGGTATACAAGATTTCTTTGAAATCAGTATAAAAACGTAAAAGACTCGTTATAAAAACTACATTGTTGAGCATAACATGAGAAAATAGTCTTCTTTTAAAGGACACAATAGAAGACCCCCTTGTAATTTGTAAACGAGAAGACAAAATAGAAGACCCCGAGTCTTCTAATGTGTCGAGGGCTTTAGTAGGTTTCAATCGCAGTACTTATTCTTGTGTGGACGTAACCTTTGGGTGTTGGGCTTTCGGATACTACTTGTGAAAAGAGAGATAACCCACCGAGCCACTTGCAGTCACATCCACATTCAGCTTCATCCATGTTCAATATTTTATTATATACTTATGGTATGGAGTGTTCTGTTATTTTCTGAACTAGTACTATTAGAAAACTGGCTTTTCATTCCTCATTATTGAGGTAGATCAAACTTGCATGCATGGTTTTGCATGAAGTATCTGCTTTGGTTTCGGCACGTACCTGTTGTCTGCGGACGCGTATTAATAAGCATCTACCATAACAGAACAGATTGTCTCGATTGAGAGAAAAATTTTATTGGCCTAAGCTTTGTTAATCAAATAATTGGATGATTCCAAGTGTCGTTTTAGTTATCAATTCTATGGACACTGTTACCATTAGAAGCCATAAATGAACGCAAAAAATTACCTGTTCATCCTTACTGACTGCCTATTTGGGTTGCTAGACGTCACAATACCTAGATAATCGTAGCTTTATAATATATTCCCTAGACTGAAAGGCTAGGGTCTAGAAACCGTAATTCACCTGTGTCTGTCTGTAACAATGGCACAATTGGCCATTTCCATGGCAAAATCGACCACTTATGTGGCACTAATTACCACTTCTGTGGCACAAACGACCATTTCTATGTGATTTATTACTGGCAGATCCGCTAAGGAGGGGGGAGCACACAGAGTAGTGCATTCTAATGACGAAGCAGGTGAAGGGGGCTACCAGTGTTCCCAGAAGGAACTTTTATTCCTCCATCGCTAAATTTTTTAACGGCGTGATCCAGTGCCTACGTGAAACTCAACCTCTTTCTCCTCTGAAGCATATTTAAGCTTCCTGATGAGAACTCCCAACAGTGTATTCTTTTAGCTATGGTGCAGAGAGCTCTATCCCTCGGTTGATCAGAAGCAAAATCGTGGTTCAGATAGTGCTTCGTACCTGTCTTCCATACTTAATTCGACTGCGTTTTTTATTCATGGTTCTTGCAAAATATTCATGTTCTTCTCATTGGTATCCCACTTCCACTTATTCATCCTGTGTATTTCTTGTCTCAATTGAACTTATCGACTCATGCTTTTGGAAATTTCAGGATCTGTGGCAAAGACTGCCGTCGGAGTCGGCGGCTCATATATTTGGATGAGTGGATTGTGTCAGTCTAGGGCCGAGTGAATCGATTTTCGATTCATGTTACTTGTTTGATATTGAAAAATAATAATTCTCATATACTAGATTAAACAGAACAGCAAAAATAAATTCTGAATGTTCTATGAAGATTTAATCATACACATCCGTGATAACAAATTTCTAGTCTCAGCAGCCATCTGTCGATATAAACGTCACAGGGATGAAGTTACTAAAATTGTCAATTAATATTATTTTGCTCGCTTGTTCGCAACTTATTTGTACTACGAACGAGAAATGAATGATCATTCGTTTAGTTTATGTGCTTCATGCTCAGGCATTCCCAGTTAATCAAATTAGGGTGGGGATATGTTGAGTTCAATTTCACAGTTAAAAAATGCAGTGCAAAACGCGCGGCATATTCCAAGCGACAGAAGTTTTCTATTTAACGTATATGTTATGTCCACCAGAGCTCAGATTCTTTTTGTCCAAACAAAAGGGAAAAGTACCGGTGAATAGGAACACATTGGTAATATGTAGAATCAACTTGAGAAGGCAGATATTCATTGCAGGCTACCAAGTAGACTGGTGATGCCATAACATTCTGTTAATCAGAAATTTTTCTGAAGGTAAACTAATTCAGGATTTCATATGACTTTGAAAAGAAATGGCATTGATTTACCCATCATACGCAGCTAGTTACAGTAACTGGCAATCATTTTCTAGGGAAAAGGAATTTTTTTTACTCTAAACAGTAGTATCCACATTTATTCACAATAAATTCTATCGTCAGAAAAACAAATTTTCTCCTAAGAATGCTGGGAAAAGAACTAAAATTAAATTTTGTGTCCAACGGAGCTGTGAATACTCACCGGCAATCGTTTGATGGTTGAAATGAAAGTTTTCTTTTTTGGCTCAACTCGAGTCAATGTTAGCATATATATATATATATATGACAGACTACCTTGCATGATGTTAAAAACGAAAGCATAATTAGGCCTTGCGTGATATGTAACTATTCAGATGCATTGAAAATCATTTACTATCGAAAAGCAAATTGTTTTTGACGACTCAACAGACGTCCATAGTTACATACAAATGGATTCTTTCTCTTAATATGCTGCGAAATAAATGTACAATTAGGCCTGGCATGATATGTAGCTATTCAGTTGCAACGAAAATCATTTAGTATTGAAAAGTAAATTGTTTTTGATGACTTAACTGGCATCCAACGTTGCATACAAATGAATTCTTTCTTTCAATACGCAGCGAAAATGAATGCACAAGGAGGTCCTGCACGACGTGGAGTTATTTAGGCTTCCTAGAATGTGGGCGCTGCTTAGGTTAAAGAAAAACCTGATTCACCCAGATCCACATCCAACCTTGCGGGTGTGATTGTGGGTATGAGTACGTGAGTATTTATAAGTGTGGGTAGATGCTTACTTCACACTTGTACCCACACCCAAAACGGAGACTGTGCTATTCAGCTGCATTCACCAACGTTGGTACATGCAAACCTTTCAATTCTTAATCAAAAGTAGAAAATCATCCAATATACTCACGAAAAACTGCGATATTAAGCGGTCAATTCACTTTTTATATGCACGTTTCGTGTGAGGGTTGTGTTATACAGTCATTTGATTGTGCTCCCTTCTGATATTTTTCTTACAGAATCATGAATCCACTCACCTTCTAATTTCTACTTTTGTACAGCATTTTGTGACGTTCTCTTTTAGGGACGCTTTTAATTAATCTTCGTTTTATTTTTATGCTCAGTCAATGATGCGTTTTCTTTAGATTAATCGCTCTTATGTCGAGAGCTCACGTAAAGTTATTTTACCATGTTTAAGTATATGTATAATCAAGGATTTGTAATGAGATCAATTGATGAAATCAGTTGAGTGTGGGTGTGGGTGTGGGTGTGGATGAATAGCTGTTCAGCATGCAACATCCTCACACCCACACACCCCACACTCACACCCACACCCACACCCTTATTTGCGGCAAATCGTGAATTTCTGATATAAAAGTTTCTGCAAGAGCATTGCTGACAATCAAAACAATTGCACCACTAGTTGGTGTCACAATTGCAGCCCTACATTTATTAAGATCATTGAATGTTTTTGCCAACGGAATAATTTCCACCAATTGTTTCACAACTTCCTGATTTGCTTTTTCTTTTAAATTTGGTTCAAGCCAATATACTAGATACAATTTATTTTCACCTGTTGATTCATCGAGGAAGCTTTTCATAGCAAGTGGTGTAAGAATTATTCCGCTTTTCTTCGATTTCATATTCGACCTAAAACATGAATGAATGAGGATGACTATTGCATCCTTGTAAGATTTGCCGGTCAGGGGTTACAAAGCAAGTTATAAAAGACAAGTTCAAGCAACTGTCGAGTTATTTTTCAATGTATGTTGATTGATGGATAGGTGTGTCTACAAGGGATGGGATTGGATGACTAGCTAGTATCGGGTAGTTAGCCGATATACGGGACTGAGTCGGTGTAAGTGAGAGTATAATGAAAATAATCTTTAAAAAGTAATAATATCGAAAACAGCAATATCACTAAACTGAAAGAGTCAAGATCTCAGAATCCAGGAAAAACAATATCTCGAAAGGGCGTGGATGTGGATCTCTCTAAAAATAAAGGTATCATACTGAACCTTTTCAAGGTTTTGCGTAAGATCCTGAACTTTTTAGGGTTCTATATTTGGGTGTGGGTGTTGGTGTCAATGTGGGTGTCAATTCGGATTCAAAAGATGATAAATCCTCACGCTCCCACTCCACCCACACACCTTTGTTTCCAAGTGAATTCTGCAAAAGCAGTATGTCGATTACTCCAAAGTACTTAAGTTACTCTATTAATTAAAAATATAGTGACACAAATACTTTCTGACTTATCAGTATGCTTATATCCATTTAAAAATGTTCACTTATAAGTACTTTTCACGCTTGCTGAAAAATTAATAAAACTATTTATTAGTTTAGCAGCTATTTGGATCAAAAATTTTACATGGATAGTAACTCTCTCATCAAAGAACCAAGAAGATTGCCTCGCGTTTATAGAGAACCAGTCAGATGGGTGTGAATGAGGATAAAAAGAGCTCTGACACTAACACTCTCATCTCAATCTTCATCCAAAAGCATTCAAACCGTTGCTCACGAACACTGTAAAATCAGTAGTATCTTTGAAATGTATACAAGAAAATGCCGTAACCATACGGCAAAAAATTACTGATACTTTCGAAATAGAGCAGAAAAAAGGAAGAAAGAAAATTTGATTCCACAATTATTCGATTTTCAATACAAAGTTACACCATTATCGAATTTTTCTGACGACGTATATAAAGTTTTTTTCCCGAAGAATGATGAAGTCAGCTCATTCATGAGTTTATATGGCCAACCATTGTAACAGCACCTGAGAGTGTGTGGTGTACTTATGTGTTTATGGATTTCGCGTCAAATAACCCCCCCCCCCCCCTCCCGTACATCCTAGAAATCAGTAGACCCAGGAATGTTGGTATAGAACCCGCGCATGGCTAAACCCAAGGTATAGCTGATTCCGGGTAGTTCGAGTTAGATGCATGCCGAACAAGCATACCGATAACTTCGATGAAAAAATGAAATTAATGAAAAGGAGAAGATAATAATGATGCTATATTGCGGGATGACGTGAATAATAGTTGTTTGAATGATGATTAATTATCATCAAGAAAATCATACCTGCGATAATTGACCTAGAATTGAATGAACTTGTCTGAGTTTTGATGATAGATATTCTTTATTTTTCTTGTAATTAATAAGGTTGTGAGTATCTATATTTTATTTTTTTGCTCCCGCACATATAGATATTTGTTTATATTCATATTCATTTTACTTCAAATAATTCAAGCAAGAATTCAGTTCATCATTTTGGACATTCATTAGGAGGAATGCATAAACTATTAGTGTTGTTATTTAAACGCACATGACCTGGGCGACGACAAAAGCAACCAGCGACACATTGGTCAGTACACATATCAGACTTGTTGTTACACGTTTCGACACAGGCTGAACCACAGCTTGTGAATACCTCGTTCTTGCCACAACACTCTTCGGGTTCGACGCATTTGCCATCCTTAGAACGGTAAAGACCATTCTTGCAGAAACAACCTCTCTTGCACATCATGATGCACGGGGTAGGCTGTTTTGGAAGTGGATAAGACCAATCGTTACATGTTGGTGGGCATGCTGAACCGCATGTCAAAAATTCTTCATTTTCGGCACACGTTGGCAATACGTTCACATTTTCACAATCTTCCTGTTTTATACATGAACTGCCAGTTTTATTGGACTCTCGCACATACCCTTCTTTGCAAAAGCACCCAGTACTACACATAGCTATACAAATATCAGGCTTGTAAGTACACGTGCTGATACAAGGCGAACCGCAAGTTTTGAAGATTTCATTTTGACCACATACAAGTCCTGTATTTTATTGAATGTAAAACAAAGTTTCATAGAGTGAAATTTATTCAATTCTCAATTATAGTACCTTCGTCTTGGGCAGTAACGACAGTCACCAACAGTAACAAGAAGCACGTATACAAAAGAAAGGCCATAGTTTAGTTTTGGTAATCGCAATAATGAATGAATAGACGCACTAGAACACGTTTGTGAATATGATGCTAGTATTTATGTAAGATGCGCGTAATTCAAAAATCGAGTAGAATTTTTTTGTTAATTTTTTACATGGTTGGATAGAGCTCGTTGAGCTTTACAAAACTGTATATATCAAAAACATTTAGAGCCTTTTGTTTAGAAAAAATTTTTGAAAAATTCAAATTTTTTTAAATGAAAAAAAATACTCAATTTTTTGATAAATTCAGCTTTATTCCCGTTATTATCATTACCTAGGATGTTTGAAGTGATGCTCATTCGGTGCAGTTTTTCACGCTGCATCGAATGATATAGGTTTGGTAGTGCTCGCATATGATGCGGTCAGAAAATTATTTAGTATAAGAGACACACCCCTAGAAATCGGTTGGACCGTGCCAAAAATCTATGTACTCGCGCTAGGTTCATCATTTACTCGATGCTTTTTTGTCATTCTACTCGTCATATGATGGGAAAAAAAGTTACGTATCCTTTTTTTTCTGAAATACTAAACGTGAGAATGACCCTTTTTCCTGAACACAATTAACGAAAAAAAAATTTTTTTTTTGGTATCCAGGTATTCTTGATCTAATACAGTTTAATATTAAATATCCATAGGTAAAAAGTAATGTAGATTCCAGGGCAGAAGGTTTTACACCATTTACCACCCTTCCAGGGGTCCTTCCAGTTCATTTTGGTTGAAAAAGTATGGCTGTCACTGTCATGTATTTNCTAAACCTGAGAATGACCCTTTTTCCTGAACACAATTAACGAAAAAAAAATGTTTTTTTGGTATCCAAGTATTCTCGATCTAATATAGCTTAATATTAAATATCCATAGGTAAAAAGTAATGTAGATTCCAGTGCAGATGGTTTTACACCATTTACCACCCTTCCAGGGGTCCTTCCAGTTCATTTTGGTTGAAAAAATATGACTGTCACTGTCATGTATTTTAAGATCATCTTTTTAGATTATAATATCATCAGTGGTATCTTCAATATGTGATATTTTCATCATTTACCGATTTAACAAGTAAATTGTAGGAGAAAAACATGAGAAAATAAAACAAATAGAAAAAAACATNTTCAAGACCATCTTTTTAGATTATGATATCAGTAGTGGTATCTTTAATATGTGATATCTTCATCATTCACCGATTTAACAAGTAAATTGTAGGAGAAAAACATGAGAAAATAAAACAAATAGAAAAAAACATTTGTTAATGGGCGCATTAACTGTTCAAATATCGGACAGGTTACTTTTAGTGATTTTCTGATGAGAAGTTACTGCTCCTTTACGCTGATTGCTAAAATATAGTTTTAAAACTTCACCATAGGTTCGTCCCTGTTGATAAGCATTAATTGCTTTCCAGAAGCGCCGAAATAATTTCATATATATTTTCTTTTCTACAAAATTTTCTCTTGATTGAACTATCAATCTTAACATCTTGTTAAATGTTTGATCAGAGTGTTTTCTTATAAAAACTTTTTGGTGGCACCACACCCCCTCGATCGGGTTAAGTTCGCAATGAAATTTCGGCGCGAATATAACCTTAAAACCATAATCAATTGCTAATTTTTCTAACTTTGAAATCTATAAGGACAGAAGAAAGAAATGCAGTTTTCGGGTGAGAGTTAAGTTCAAAGGCTTACGTTTTTAAAAGCTTTATGACATGATAATAGGATCTTGAGCTCTTCTAATTTACAATTTGTTGATACTTTAAAACCAAGCTCAAGAGCAATAGCCAGCAGACCTTTACTTTGACCCTTTTGTAGTCCTGATTGAAAGAAGCAATCAAGTGTTTTTGTATTGTTCACTTCGTCTATATATTCGATAGACGCCACTGGACATCTTGTCCCACTACGTTTTCCAAAATCATTGATACTAAAAGGTTTTGCTGAGTGTGTACGTGCATTATCTACTAATATTTCAATGTTATGCTTTTGGTACTCTTCTTTAAACTTTAATAACTTGAACAAACGCTCAAATTGCAATAAAATAATGCTGTTGTCAAAGTACGGATCTGCACCTAAATGAGCAGTAATTGTAGCGGAATAGTTTTCATAACGAAGATCGGTATCCTCTAATAAGTCCGGAAATCTCTGTACAGCATTTGTCCATTCCTTTTCATTCAGCTGAAAGAAAGGCCCTGATGGGTGATGCACAAGGAAGTGTGATATCATCACACGTCTACCGCCACCTTTGTTGAAGAACGGAGCTGAAGTATCGACCAGCCAAAGTTTAGCGCGAACATCTCCACTTCGAAAGGTGGATTCGTTGTGACCTAGGAACGAATATCAAGATTAAAGTGCTACATAGGTTAGTTTACGATATTTGATCTTACAAATAAGAATCGTTGGTACAAGTGATTTTGGTGTTTGCCACACAGGATTTTCATCAGAACTAACAGTATAATATTTATCTTCATTGGTTAAAAGATAATGAATAAATTGCTCACGATGTGCTATCACATCCGAACTTTCATGCCCTTCAAAATACGGGCGGTTAGTATTATTTTCGAAACGTGCATTCCAATTTCGTAAATCCAATCTACAACTTCCCACCGATCTCACAAGATCAGAATTAACCTTATTTATCTTATTAACTTCATAATACTCTTTATCTATGAATTGTGCTAGATCATATACAGTAAAACTAGGAGCCTTCTGCTCACATTGAAGAACTGCAAACGCTTTTGCATCAACTTCAAGTTCCGGATAAACATCATAAAAGCTATCACCTCGTTTACCACCTCTTCCGTCAATAAGAAATTCATCAAAGTTTCCATTCATAAACACATTGGACCATTTATGAGTTATGTCCGCTGTTAAACCGCCAATAGTCTTGAGAAATCTATGTGTTTCTTCATATGAAATATTAAAACGACGCAAAATCAAATAAATAAGAACACTTAAATATCTTATATTGCATTGATTCTTGCAAAATTCAAACATATCGGCTATGTCACAAATTTGGATTGTGTCCCGAAAATTTAATTTTGTGTCTGCTTCATCTTCATCACTAGTTTCCATGGAAAAATTACTATCATCACTCGATGCGTCACTTTCAGTGGACCAACGTGACTTAATAGCATTGAAACATTGAGATTGCCGGTTTGACTTCGGAGGCATGTATCGACAGAAGAATTCCATATCAGATGCCAAAAGCAGGAAAAAAATAGTTATGAAAAATCAAAAAGCACGCCACCGAATACTGCAGTACGAGTTATTCGAAAACTTTATTGGTCACATGAATAATTCATATCTGCCCCTCACATTTTTTAAATGGATGTCGCTAAAATCGAGTATCTAACGATGAATCCAATTTGTGAATAACTCGTAAAATACTTACAGCGGATATATAAACAACTCATTATATTTAAAGATGGTCTTA